GGCCCGACAACCGGGAACGAGACAAAGCCTTCGATCTTTGCCCTTAGCATCCTCGATAGAAGGAGGAAAATATTGACGGACTTGACCGGCATTTCGCTCGACTTCTTATCATATGATGCGAAAGCCTGGTGATGTATCCTTCGCCTGATTCAGCAGCACATCATATCGAGTCAAATAACCGTCCTGGGTGCTGTCGCATTCAGCCTGCCTCCCTTCAAATTGAAAGTCAGCCGACTATCCACAGCAACGCAGAGAACGGGCCGTCAGCCATGTGTTAACCCCTCATAGCAAGTGCAAGGCGCCATTCCGACAGGCGGTCTGTCAGTCCGCCGTCGTCCGGCCCTCGCACCAGTATCACCACACGCCCCGCATCTTGAGGTTCCTTCCCCTCTGTTCTTCTCGAAGACAAGCTTACGCTCCATACCTGATGTACGACCTGGTCCAACGAACATGGCATGCGGTATGACGTTCTCGATCTGATGGACACTCGCAATTGGGTGTCTGCATACGCGACATTCCCCATGTTGAACGGGTACGGGCATGGTTGACTTCCACAACGTGTTACAGAGGCCAGCCACCGAGATACTCGAGTTCTCTCGGTGACTTGGCGAGTTGGCGATTCCTGATGCGGTCACTGGCATGCATCGATTTTGAACGATGCCGTGGTTATTGAAGGAGTTATTCAGACTTCCATGATGCCTAGCTGGGATGACATGATGTCGAGGAAGCGTGCTCTAGCACCATCCCCGATGCTGAGAGCGTGGATGTGAAGTCTTGAACCACAAGAAAAATAGTTCGTTTTCGGTTCCGTTGATACCAGGCTTGCTTCTAGTACCTCACCTGGGCGTGCGCTGCGATCAGAATAGCGTCATCTTGAGGTTCTTCAGCACAAGACCGCTCAAATGTTTCTCCAGAGCCTTTGTGCTTTTCTGAGCTCACCAAGTCGTTCTCAAGATCGAGCATATCATCGGAGCCCACTAGGATCGCTTTCAAGACTGCCGCCACGATCTTGACGTCCACGCATTTGAATGATGGTCAATGATATTAAAACCTGGTTAGCAAACTCACGCGTGGCAGTCTGTGGTCAGCCCTTGACGGCCGCACGCAGGCTTCGTCCTCCCCATTCCACTGTGAAGGAAACTCGAGAGGCTTCTAGAAGGCATCACAAGAGCTTCTCTTCGCGTCACATCCAGTAGCCTGCGCGAACGAGGCTACACAGTTCAGACCACATACTTCCGTGCAACACTGCCAGGCCAGTACATCGACCCGTCCAGCATCGTACACATCGCCATGCATGTCAGACCTCGCTGGCAATATCCAATCTCCCCATGATGTTCCTCCGTGAGGAAAGACAAGCTCTGCTAGCCGCCCATAGCACAGAACCAGGTCATCCAGCGTGTCTACAAGTGCGCCCCTGTCCCCGTTTCGTGCCGCGAAGATCCTCGATGCCCTCGTGCCCCCGTGTAACAGCATCGCACCCGCCCGGCCACCCATCGAGTCTGTCCCGCCATGCAACTCTGTCAGGCCGTCGGCCTTCCCAGCCTCTACGGCCTCGGCATCCGGCTCGCCTTCTACCTGCAATGGTTCGGCGCCCTGGCAGCGGAATACATCGAGATCGCCGACATGTGCGACGTCCGCCTCCTCGGCCTCCTCCTCTCCGCCGCGACGCTCCTGGGCCTCGTCACCCAGCTTGCTGCCGCGCACCTGGCGCCCATCCACGTCTACATCGCGCTCCTCCTCGTCACGGGCATCTATCTGCC